GAGCGCAACGCAGGGCTGATCCCAGGACCTTGAGATCATGACCTGAGTCGAAGGCAGACGCTTAACTGACTAAGCCACCCAGGTGCTCCTGTGGACTTTTGATTATCAATAAATTCGTGAACGAGGCCTTTATTAAGGTGGGTTAAAAGAATCCATCGTGGGGGTGCCTGGGTGGCTCAGACAGTTAAGTGTCTGCCTTCAGCTCAGGTCATGATCCCAGGGTCCTGGGATCTAGCTCCGCATCGGGCTCCCTGCTCAGCAGGAGGCCTGCTTCTCCCTCTCCTACTCCCCCTGCTTGTGTTCCCTCTCTCGCTGTGTCTCTATGTCAAATAAATAAAAATTAAAAAAAAAAAAAAGAATCCAGTGTGACTAGCAGAACTGAATGGGATAAATAAGCATAAGAGTCACTAATGAAGTATAGATTAATAAATACCTGATCTTAGATTATTAAATAATGAATTTAAATTCTATGTTTTATATAAAGAAACCTTACCAAATCTCAAAATATGTAGTCACTAATTTCCCCAATTTGAACTTCAAAAATTCAAATTTTAGTGTGGGATAAAATTTCTTAAAATTTAAGCTCAAAAAGAGACTAAATATTAATAGAGGTGATAGAAATATAGACAGGATTATGAGGAAAAGCAAACATAGTTAAACAATGTAGAAAATACAACAAAAGATATTTCATAATATAAAACCATTTAATAAGACAAATGACTCCACAGTGACATAGAGTTTTCCAGAGAATATTTCTTTTCTCTTTGTGAGGGACTCAAGGCAGGATTATCATATTTTCACATAAAACAAGCAGCAGGCAGTCAAAAGTCAATAGTAAATTAGGCAACTCTAGAAATGCCATTTATTTATTTATTTATTTATTTATTTATTTTAAAGATTTTATTTATTTGACAGAGAGAGACATAGTAAGAGAGGGAACACAAGCAGGGGGAGTGGAAGAGGGAGAAGCAGGCCTCCTGCGGAGCAGGGAGCCCGATGCGGGGCTCGATCCCAGGACCGTGGGATCATGACCTGAGCCAAAGGCAGACGCTTAATGACTGAGCCACCCAGGTGCCCCTATTTTTTAGATCCAGATGGCAGTATTTGGTAAGTTATGATTTCAAAATATAGAACTGAAAGAATGACTAGTACTTCAAATGAAAAATACCTTAATATTTTGCCTTATTTTTCTAGTAGTAGAATACTTTTGCTCTAATTCTTTGATTCCTCCTTATTAACCAGCCCACCTTGTGACTGATGGCATGTATTGATAAGACAGGTGGACAGAATTAAGGGTGCCTCTTTCTGCCCAAAGAAAAGGACAAAGCTAATGATTCCATAAGGAAAATCTAACCAGTGACTTGAGCTTTAACATCTTAATACCGGGAACAAATAATCAACGGAGCTGAAAACATTTTAGAAACCTCTACATTTTTTTTCAACTATGGTATTATTCAGTGTTTAGTAGCAAAGAAAACAACATATATGAACCCAGTCTAGTTCCAGGGGTAGAGCAGAAATGGTTTAACCAGTGTTTTTGCTTTTGTTCAGATCACTCCTCCATCATCTTCAGCTCTACTGACCCTATGGAGAACTCTGCAATTCTTTTTTTTTTTTTTAAGATTTTATTTATTTATCTGAGAGAGAGCAGGGTGAGGGGTGGAAGGGACATAAGGATAGTGAGAAAGAGTCCTAAGCAGCTCCGCCCTAAGTGTGGAGCCCAACATGGGGCTGGATCTCACAACGCTGAGACCACAACCTGAGCCGAAAGCAAGAGTCCATCGCCTGACTGCCCCATGCAGGTGCCCCAAGAGAACTCTGACATTCTTTTTTTTTTTTTTTTAAGATCTTATTTATTTATTTGACAGAGAGAGAGACACAGTGAGAGAGGGAACACAAGCAGGGGCAGAGGGAGAAGGAGAAGAAGGTTTCCCATGGAGCAGGGAGCCCAATATGGGGCTTGATCCCAGAACCCTGGGATTATGACCTGAGCCGAAGGCAGACGCTTAACGACTGAGCCACTCAGGTGCCCCGGGAACTCTGCAATTCTTTAGACTTCTCCAAGAGTTTCCTTATTTCCACAAAGTGAATAAAAATAGTTATTACCTCATAATGATTGAAAAGAGTTAAGTGAAACAATACATGTAAAATCCTAGCATACAGTGCCTGGAGCATGGAAATTCAATAAAGGTTCCCTCTCTTATCTATTGGATCCATGCTATCTAGATCCATGGGTCCAGAAAGGAGCCAGAACTTTAGTGTTTCAGGATTATTTTATAATTATTAAAAAATATTTTGATGCAGAATATTTTACTTATGTCTTTGAAATCTGTACAAATGTCTCTGTCCTCATCTTTATATTTGTTTCTGTCTTCTTACTGAACTGCAAAATTCCTAAAGGATGAAACCTTTATCTGTTTTTTTTTTTTTTTTTAAGATTTTATTCATTTATTTGAGAGAGAGAGCGAGCACATGAGCAGGGGAAGGGGCAGACGAGAGGGAAAGCAGACTCCTGGCTGAGCGTGGAGCCCTACTGGGCTTGATCCCAGGACCCTGAGATCATGACCTGAGCCAAAGTCAGATGCTTACCTGACTGAGCCACCCAGGCGCCCCTGAGGCCTGTCTCTATTTAAATCAGTTTATACACTCTCAGTAGAGCATAAGCATTAAATGGACATTTGATATATTTCAATGATAAAACATAAAAACAATCAAATACAAGTCAACACGAGACATAAGAAAATAGCAGAAGAAATATATACAAAAATTCTTATTTTAGAATTATGCTATACGTAATTGGCAAAATCTACTTCTTTACATGTATACGTGAGATTATATTGATTTTTTTATTTAAAGAAAAAGAGGGAAATGCAATGAATGTTAGAGATAAAAATGCAAAGTCATAGTAACAAATATTTTTGGTTCTTGGACTGAAAAAAAATGACCAGTTAGGAAAAGAGAGAAGTGAAAGGGTATTACATAGACCATACCACTGATTTTCTCTTCATATTAAATAAATGCCTTTTAATCATATTTGGTTTGATTGAAAATAAGCAGGAATGATTTTTTTGGGGGCTAAAAACCAACAACACAGCTCATCTCCTACATTAAGTAATATACTATCTGGTTCACTGAAGCAATGCTTAAAGGAAATTTGGCATAATGTGGAGAGTAACTTTTTAATGAGAGAAAAAAACACTTTCTTTATAAATCATTACAAACTATTCTCTTTTATATATAGAGAGAAGTAACCCTAAAGTATTTAAATTTTACAGCTGTATCTGCATCTTGAGGGGCCAAAAGTATACTTCAACAAAACAGGGAAAATAGAACCCCAATTATGTATCTGGTTGTCTCCATGAAAATTTAACCAATATGAGATCATTGAAGAGACCAGCCCAGCAAGAAAGGAAGGAAATGCAAAATATGGAGGGGGTTCTTGAAATGTTACTATTTTCTGCTAAACAGACATCTTAGTTCCCAGGGAACATAAAAAAAGGACCTGAAAGCTTAACCTTTTACAAGTAAGTTTATAACCAAACTTATTACTGATGATAACTAAAATATGGGGCTCATAGTCCTTTGTAATTTCCCTTTACAAATGACACTCATGTACCATATACTTCAGGAACAAAAGCAATTTATTATTTGGTATTGCACAGATGGTGCCAGCCACACATTGTTTCTTTCTTGATTTATGGGTTAAGAAAAAAAGTATAAAAGGGATCTACTTTTCAGCTTAAAATCAATATGAAAACTAACTCTCCCTGTTTTTCTTTCAAAAGCCTGGGGGCTTCACCAAAAAAAAATTCATTCTTTCTTGCCCTAAAGAAGCTAACACCATCCTGGACTTGGTTGATTTGTAAAATTGTTATTTCCTGGCTGCTAATGATAGAGAAAGAAGAGACAAAAAGTACATCATCCAGGTCCTAGCTAGATAAATTCATTGGGAAGCTTAAGAGTATCTAGATTAAACATCTTAAATAAGAACATCTAGAAAAAGGTAACTGTAGCAATGTGTCTTCCAGCTCACTTGACTATTCTTTTAAAGACCTGTAACAAACTGAAGGCAAGATGTTTCCATAAGCCACCAGGAATAAGAACTTACTTCTCTTAAGTTTATCAAATGACTTTTTCTTTTTTCTTTATGTTTTTTCTTGTATAGTGCAAATGCCTTTGTAAGCCTTTCCATGTCTTTGAATACCTCAACAATCTTCTTCCAAGTCTTCCTGCCACTATGGGTTAGGGTGGATGAACTTCTGGAAAACACTTGCATCACACTATTCCCTTTTGTTTTCTCTATTCATCAAGAATGAACAGCTACCTTATTTCCTTATATCATGGAATGAAGACATAGTTTAATTTCTACCGGGGCTTCTAGTCAAGTACTATTCCTTCTGGTGGTAGCTCTCTAGTGTCTAGATGCATTAAAACTTATTTGCATTCCACTACTGATTAACCTTATGGTTTTTCTTCACAATGATGAAAAAATGAGTCTTGTATACCAACCTTCTACTGCCATTATAAAGTGAAACTTGGGTTAGCTACAGATTTCTCAGTAGATCCAGTTGTTCTCTCTTCCTTGTACAGAACAGGTAGTTTGTGTCCACAAAGAGAAAAGAATCCCAAAATGATAAAATAGTAAATGTTCAGTCTAGTCCAGTCCAATAAAGACAGCTACCTTTGACTGGCGGTACTAGCAGACAATAGATTCACCTAATTGAATCCAGACATATTTCATAGAAAGTCTCTTTGCTTTGGAGTATTATTTTCATTTCTGACCAACTCAACATTCTAAACTCAAAATCTGCCATCTGCTCCATTTTCTGACAATAACAGAATATTTAGTATTTAATAGTAATGGTGAAAAAACTCCACTGCAAGTAATTATTGACCAACTTTAATAGTGATTTATCATCCTTCAATATTTGATCTCTGATAAAGGGGCTACTTCACTAAAGCAAAATTTGAAGTAATGCTGAACAGCTGTTTGGCAAGCCAAGGACACAGATCTCCCAGAAGTGCAATGAGAGAGAGAGGAGCTTATTTTCAGCACAAGCACCACCTAGCTAAGATGTGAACAGGAGAGTTCTATGAGTGATAGCAACAGCAATGTGGAGGCATGTAAACACAAATATTTTAAACTGATAAGAACAGATACTACACTTGATCTTAGCCAAAAGGCCGAGAAGCGATAAAACACAAATATTTTAAAAATCAATTTTTTGGGGGGGCCTGGGTGGCTCAGTCGTTAAGCGTCTGCCTTCAGCTCAGGTCATGATCCCAGGGTCCTGGGATCGAGCCCCATGTCTGGCTCCCTGCTCAGTGGGAAACCTGCTTCTTCCTCTCCCACTCCCCCTGCTTGTGTTTCCTCTCTCGCTGTCTCTCTCTCTGTCAAAAAATAAAATCTTTAAAAAAATAAAAATAAAAATCAATTTTTGTAAGCCACTACAATATGGGCAACAGTACTTCAGAATCCACTTAATGATGAGAGAGAAATAGTAGATGGTCTTCACTTTGCCTCTTTAAACATTTACTGTTCACTTATACTTAACATGGTGTAATATACCACATATCTGAAAAGCTATAGTTATATACCTTAAAATGATAGCAATGAGAATGACAAATCGAAATGGGAGTAACTGTGTAAAAATAGCAACATAAGTTATCAGTAAGTAGAATATTTCTATTTTATTCACTGATGTTCAATATGTCATCTGTTGACCACTTAAGGCATATTATTAAACAATAAATTACCTTATAATAATTCAATGAGTTAAAGTGCTTCCTTAAAAATATATCACCTGACAAAAACTTATAAACCAGTTATTTAACCTAAGTCATTAAACTATTATCCCAACAACTGCTTCATACATTACAGTTTATTACATAATCTTGCTGAAATTGAAATAAAGGCACAGAGTGAGATGTAAGAAAGTTTGAAACAGAGAAGTTAAAGGAGCTAAAGTTCTAAACTTTCACTACGGAGTAATAACTCAAGAAAGCGAATGAATGTAAAGATTAAAGTGAAGAGAGAAGGGAATGTTCTGGAGTTGGAGAGAGATCTCGTGGAGGACAATAATGGAGACTTTTGAGTCTGTGCTCAATAATGGAGAATGCTGATGTGAAAATGTGGAAAGCATCTATTATGGTACATAAAGAGTACATTCAAAGCTCTATTTCTTAAATGGCAAGGTTAAGGTTAAACTAAAACTAGACCATAAACTTT